TGGAGTTAGGGGTGGGGTGTGTGTGTGTGACTGGAGGGTGTGGGGTGGGGTATGTGGACAGATGCTTCTAGACTTGGGGAGGTGAGGGTGAGGGCTCTAATATGAGTAATCCTAGGGTAGATCTCTGGGCCAGCAGGCGTTCTCTGCTCTGCTGCCCCACTTAGGTGATGTAGGATTTTTGAGGGGGAAAAAAAAGCTCTGATTTTTTTTCTCTCTGTCTCTGAGAGACCCATCTTAACATATCTTGTAAAATCAGCATATATTTGTGAGAGTTGCTGATATTTCTAAGAACAGAATCTAGTAGTTAATATGGAGCTTTTTACACAGAATGTGATCATGATACAGTTTGTGAAAGCCAGAGTAACTTCAGTGGCATGTTAACAAACTCAGGTGTCTCCAGAAATTGGTTTTAAAACAATACTACTGTAGCTAATATCAGTTTATTTCTTATTTGCAGAGCCAGATTGTTCACTGTAGTAATTGGTGTAGCTAGGACATACCAGCTGAAACAGTGCTTGACTGTAGATAAAATAGAGGATTTGTGTTTTTCAGATAAAATGATAATCTACAAAACCTGTATTACTTATGTTTACAAAAGCAAAGAGTAATGATGAAGAGAATATAGCAGAGTACAGAGCTGTGTTTTGGTGCAACTGAAAGCATTTGTATTACACTTCTGTTTTCAGGTTCTCTTGAAAAAGTGTTTGAAGTACTTTTCCTTCAGACATACAAGGTGGTGGATCTGTGCATTATGTATCAGAGGGGTAGCCGTGTTAGTCTGAATCTGCAAAAGCGGCGAGGAGTCCTGTGGCACCTTATAGACTAACTGAAGTGTTGGAGCATAAGCTTTCGTGGGCAAAGACCCACTTTGTCAGATGCATGTAGTGGAAATTTCCACGGGCAGGTATAAATATGCAGGCCAGAATCAGGCTGGAAATGATGAGGTGGATCTGTGCATTGTTTGTGTTCTTGCTTGCCTATTGACAGAAAGAAGGCTGCAAAGTTTTGGTTAAGATCTTTAGGCAGAAAACTTTTCATGGAAAAGGTGAATGAATTTGTTTTATAGGGACACTAACTGGAAGGAGAAATTCTAATTGAATCTACTATGAGCTCCTAGATTTCCTATACCTCTGCCACTCCCCAAAATAAGATCAGGGTGAACTTTGTAACTTGCTAGCTAGTTAAAACAGGAAATACTACAACTTTGAGGAATGAGCAAAAGAATATTGCATAAATCTGCTTCATGGTGATTGATTGGTTTAAGCAGGTCTGTGTGGTAAGTATCTTGATGTGGGGCAACTCTTCCTCCTTTTTGCCCTGTGAGTTCATCCCAGTGATGTTTGGCATTTTGCCATTGTCTCAAGGTGGAATCTTGTAGTTTCACACTGTCATGCTGTGACCTGGGTATATCGCAGTGTGTACCACTGCTTACCACCCTGAAGACATGTTTGTGGGTTCACTGACATTGAAGCACATGCATATTGAAGACAAGGGCACAGGGTTGTGAATCCGTAGATGCTGACCCTGTCATTTGAAAGGCGTTGGAGCAATATTAGCATAACAAATCTTTAAACAGTTGGAAAAACTGGGCTGTAAAGGGGGTTCATTGAGAATACACAAAGCTCACTTCTAGTTTTTTGCTCTGATCACATGGCCATTTCCTCAACAGTTACACAGCAATGGGGAGAGAATTAGCTGAAGACACTGAGCTGTATCCTCACTCCTTTATAAAAAGTGCTATGCAATTTTTACTGTCCACTTTGATCAGACAGGAAATCCTGATAAGAATCTATTGAAAGACAACAGCTTTAAATGGGCACTGTACAAGTTTTTAACCTACCTTAGGGTGAAGGGCTGAGTTAACCCTATTGGATTGGAATCTCTAAAGTGTCAGGCATAAATGTGTCTCTGCCCAACTCAAAATGACTTTGACGTTTATGCTTTGTTGGGGGTGGGAGAAAGGTGCAGAATTGGCATCCATTTTGGGAAACTTCTGTTATTGGACTTGCCATTTTCTAAGTATTGCTTTTATTATCATAAGAACACATGTAAACGTACTATTCTTCTCTCTTAGGTGAATGTTGGATGTGTACCGAAAAAGGTAGGTATTTATCTTTTTATATTGTTGTTGTGTTGAAATGAATGTGTCTGTATCCGATTCTTGACAACGCAGATGTTGCTGGGACCGTAGATAAACTTAACAGGGTGTAGCTGCAGTGAGGGGCACTTGCAAAAATACTTTACATTCCTTGCTTTGCTTTTTTGCCTCAGGCAGAATAGACTGGTTGGACTGTTTTTAAGCAAAATAAATATCTAAAGGAAAAATTGTACACTTGACCCCAGAGATGCAGACCTATTAGTGACACCAGGGTATCTATGAGCAGAATTTATTGTGTTAATATTTTCCGTAGTCAGTTTCACAAAAGCATTTTGTGAATGATTGATTCAAACCAGACTGTCATTTTAAAGAGATGACCAAAGCTATCATCAAAGTGAGCAGCTCTTCAAAAAGCATATGAACAGATTGGGCTGGACTTCAAAAGCCCAATGCACTGCTTAGAGTTAAGTTTATACCTTTTGGGTTGAATGTTTTCCTATGTTACTATTTCAAGTGTGTGAAGAAAAGTAGAGATACACACAAAAAAGGAAGGCCACTTTTCTATACACTATCATACACTGAAAATGCTACAGATGTGAGTAAGGTTTTATTTGAATTGTGAGATGATTGTCAAAAAATTGCAACTGAGTTGCAGACAAGTCATGGAAATTTGTGGAAAAGTAACGGCACTACTTGCTGTATTTTTTCAAAGGGTTGATAGTAGAGGCTTCTGCTGTTGGCTGCCCAGGCCTGAGGGAAGATGCTCTCACTGTCAAATTGAAGTGGAAGTCTAATCCTGTATTGCAGGAGTCGCAATATTGCAAATTAAGTAGAGCCTTAGATATGATGTTCCTTTTCCCTAATCCCCTCCAAATCTTTGTGGATTAGATTGTCTATCTGAGCGCACAAAGGATGGACTATAATTACACTGACCATACAACCTGGAAAATCCAGGACAGTCCCAAATTTTAATCTTCTGTCCCAGTGCCCTTTAAAACATTGAAAATGTCCCGGAAATAGCAGCACAGCTAGAATTGGCTGCATGCTGCTGTTTCTGTTTCCCTTTCCCCTCCCCCTTCCAGGGGATCATGCTGGTCATCTTAGATTTAAAAGGCAGAGCCTCACCAGAGGGTGTCTTAAAATTGAGTAAGAGCCACGCTAATTCTTAGACTTGAGACAGAGCCAGCGCTCTGCACAATCCAGGATCATCTGATTCCCAGCTCAGCTGGTGCTCGCCTATGCAGCTCTGCCTTTTAAATCTAAAGGACCAGTGTGGCTCTTGCTAAGTTTAAAGGGTAGAGTGGCTGCCAGAGAGGGGAGCAGCTGGTGCTGCCACTCTGCATTTTAAACCTAAAAAGAGCCACATGGGTCATCTTAGATTTAAAAAGCAGAGCTGCGTGGAATGGCATCAGCTGAGACTCCCAGGTACTGGCCAAGCTGCTCCTGCCCTCTCTCCCCTGGCCAGACCTCCCGTCAGCACCCTTCCCCCTCTCCTGTGGCCAGACCCCCACTAGCACCTTGCCCCACCTCCTGGCCAGACCCCCACCAGCACCCTGGCCCCAGGCCAGACATCCATCAGCACCTTGCCTCCTGGCCAGATCCCCACCAGCACCCTGCTCCTGCCCCCTCCCTCCTGGCCAGACACTTGTCCCCAGCTTGTTCCTGTATCCTACTTTCCACCCAGATTCTGCTCTCCCATCCCACTCACTGGCAGCCCTGTTCGTACACTGGATCCCTCATTTCTGGCCCCATCTCAGAGTGTAAAGGGACTCTCAAAATTCATTAACCCTGGAACCCAGAAGAGTTAAACTGGCCTGAGGCCTTGAACCTCAGTCCTACCTACCCTCCTTCCCGACGGGGGTGCGGTGCCAGGGGAGTGAGGTGTCTCAGTTGGGGCCACATCGGTTAGGCTTGGGGAGTTTTGGAGGGGTTGTTCTTTTGCATCTCACTTGTCTGGTCCCTGACTGATTTTTCTGTGGGTCAGTGACCCCTGACCCAAAACACATTCCCTGTCCCTCCCATACATAAAGACGATGCTGAAACATTTTGTGTTGGACATAATATTTTATTTAAAAATGAAGCCTGGCCAACAACCCCCCAATTGGGGCCAAGCCCCTATATGGCCAAAGCATCATAACACTCCTGCACCTCCCACACACCCCAACCCTGAGCCCATCATACTCCCGACCCCCCTGCCCTTGAGCCCCTCATACATCCCAGCCCAAACTCCTGCATCCCAACCTCCACAAGCCTGTGGCTTGCTCAGCATACTAACCTTCCACCTGACCCCTACACTCTACAGCCTGGAGCTCCCTCCCTGAGTTAGCAGCCCCTTCTCCACCTCCTCCTGCACCCAGATTCCCTTCCAGAGCTTGTACCTCTCACCCCTTCCCACACCCAAATCCCTCATTCCCACCCCAGAGCCTGCACCTCCTATCTCAACCCTGTGGGAGTGAGTAAGGGTTGGGGATAGCAAGTGATGGAGAGGAGGGGAATGGAGAGGGCTGGGCCTCAAGGAAGGGATGGGGCCTTGGAGAAGTGGTGGGGTAGATCTTGGCTTGCCCTGATATTTAAAAAGTGATTTTTTGGTGTAAAAAATTTGGAGACCACTGCTCTAGATAGTCTCTTGCCGCACACCCAGCCTGCTCACTCACCATCCTGCTGAGACCCCACACCTCCACCCCCCTCACATACACCCTCCACTGAGACCCCACACTCCCAGTTCACTCCTGCACCCTCCCTTGCTCATGCACCTCCTTCTTGGGCAGACTGCACCTTCACCCCCTCCTACCCAGTTTCTGCACCCCCCATCCCTATCCCACTTACTGGCAGCCCTGTCCTACACATGGGGCCCCTCATTCTTGGTGGCAACCCAGAGACTGGGGGGACCCACAAAATCCACTAACCATCCCAAAAAAGTTAATCTGGGCTGAGGCCTTGAACCTCAGTCCTCCCTGCCCCTCCCCTCATGCTGGGGCTGGAGCACCAGGGGAGTGAGGTGTTTCAGTTGGGGACCACATAAGAGAAGGTTGGGGTTTTGGGGAGGACTGGAGAGGGGAATTGTCAAGCATAGCAGCAAGGGAGATGTGGGAAGCACAGCCCAATAATGTAATTGTAAAACTTTATTTTAGTGTCAAAATGAATGCAAAGAGTAGGAAAAGAATGTACACTTTTACAGAGATTTTGCAAAAGGACTATCCTTTTTTAAAGAAATGTGACAATCCATACAACATTTTGCATCCAATGTAGTAGTGAGATAAACATTGCTTATGGAGGGAAATCTGACATCACTGCACATAGTCAATTACAGAAACATCAGTTAGCTGTCTGCTCTGTAGCTTCCAGTGCTTCAATAAAGAAATGTATTATAAAAGATGATTCTGTTAAAATGGATCTTGTGGCAAAAGAAGCAGTAATTGCATATCATACTGTAAAATCACAATCACAGTTTCAGGTTCTTAGATTTCTCTTCTAAGCTAATTCTTCATTGTTTGAACCTAAATTTTCATCAACATAAACAAAAAGTGAAGCAATTGGAAAAAATGTTCTTGCTCCAGAAGCTCAAAAGATTTTGCAACAGGAATTGGGCAAAACTTCGTGTCTCACAGTTGTGGTAGATTCATCTGACCACAAAGATCAAAAAGTTGTTTCTATCTTAGTAAGATATTTTCATGAAAGTACTAGAGTTAATGTGAAAGTTCTTGAACTTGATATCCTGCCAGGTGACACAAGTGACCAATTAAATGATTGTTTTCTCTGTTCTGAGCTGCATCCTTTACTTCTGGTCATGTACCCATCTCAACCTTGGAAGTACTACCCCAGGGGTGGGACTTCTGATGGCAGGTGGGCATGGCTAAAGGGGGTTGGGAGCATGGCTAAAGGATTTTGGGACGTGACTATATGTCCCTATTTTTGGTTCAGAAAATATGGTCACAGTAACTAATGCAAGGTAGGGATTGACGGAGAATTTAATCCGAGGGTTCGGATGGGGGCCCAAAACCCCTACCAAATCAATTCCAGACACCCTTCTTAAGCAACCAGCTTTATTCAGGAATGCATTCCAGGGCAAAAACCTCCAGGATACTCAGGAGAAAAAAAAGTTTCTGCAAAGTTTCTGCAAATGCCCAAACAAAAGGCAAGGTCTTTTGTACTTTCTTACATGGTAATTATCCCCCTTTTACTGACCACTTACAATTGCATGCATATACAGGTCATGCCCCTTTGCACCAAATTCCCTCCAATCATCATTTGTCCCCTCACTGTCATTTTGCAGGCCTTACAACAGGTTCAAACCAGTTTCACCTGTCCCCTCCTTTTGTATACCTGTGCTCAAGCACGTACCTCTTTACAAAGACCAGACTTTAACAGCAGGGGTCATATTGACAAAAGTTAAGTTTATCCTTCACATTCATCAGTGTTTTGACTGGTGACAGTGTTCGTTATTTCTTGTGCTAAGACTGTGTACAATGAAAAGACACAATCCATTTGAATTCTAGTCAATTGCCATAAATCTGTGTACAGATGTGGTCTCCTCACTTCAAAAAAAGATATTTTGGCCTTGGAAAGGGTTCAGAAAAGGGCAACTAAAATGATTAGGGGTTTGGAATGGGTCCCATATGAAGAGAAGTTAAAGCAACTGGGACTTTTCAGTTTAGAAAAGAGGAGACTGAGGGGGGATATGATAGAGGTCTATAAAATCATGAGTGGTGTGGAGAGGGCCGATAAAGAAAAGTTATTTATTAGTTCCCTAAATAGAAGAACTAGAGGACACCAAATGAAATTAATGGGTAGCAGGTTTAAAACTAATAAAAGAAAGTTCTTCACACAGCGTGTAGTCAACCTGTGGAACTCCTTGCCAGAGGAGGCTGTGAAGGCTAGGACTATAATAGAGTTTAAAGAGAAGCTAGATAATTTCATGGAGGTTAGGTCCATAAAAGGCTATTAGCCAGGGGATAAAATGGTGTCCTTGGCCTCTGTCTGTCAGAGGCCGGAGAGGGATGGCA